CCCCCCCCCCCCCCAAACATCTTTTCCTTTTTCGGTTTTCAGCTGTTCTTTATGAGAAAGAAGAAAGCAAGGGCACTTATGGGTTCAAGAGACCCTCCATAAAGCATGCACTCTTATCCAAACCCTGCAGAAGCAGAATTCTACAGAAGGCAGTCACAGAATTTAAAGTGGGATGCACACTTTGCCTACCCTTTAAAATGTAGTGTAATGATGTAATGCTTCCTGGAGGAAATTTACAGAGCAGCAACATGGGCTACTCCTCACACTCTTATAAAGCATTACAGACTTTGGCAAGTCCTGTCAGATCAAATTATATTCTTTCCCTTTTTTTCAATTTGGGAATGAACTGGAGGAGGGGTTGGGGACTCAATTATATGTACACTTAAAAAAGGTAAACATGATTCCTTTCCTAGCCTGGGTGGTGACTGGATATAACTCTTGTGTGTATGATTTCTTCCCCAATGTTAGGTATGTTGGATACAAAAATATGTACATTTTTGTTTAGCTCACCCTCCCCCCTTCTCAAAAAGTTGCACAGACTATGAAGCCATCTCAATTAAGCTTTCACTTATGGACTTGCACTTTCTGACTATTCCTTTAAAGAACATCGATACATTGAGCTGTTCCTGAATTCAACTGCTGGAGGCGGTGCTGGCATGGGAGGCTATGGCAGAGATGGCATGGGTATGCTTGGTTTTACCTTTTAAATTCAAATTAAATATAACCAGGATCTCTAAAAGGCTAACAGTAAACACTGTTTTTTAGATCAAGGTGGTTATGGTTCCGTTGGAAGAATGGGAATGAGCAGCAGTTATAGTGGAGGATATGGTACTCCTGATGGATTAGGTGGCTATGGTAAGTTGTCTTAATAACCAAACTATATTTTTCGTCACTGCTAAAGCACCTTACTTTTAAGTTCATGTTACCTGAGGAAATTAATGAAGTGTACCTTGTTTGCACAGAAGAAATGTACAATTAATTGTATAAATGGTTGAGGCCATGGCTGTGTAATGTTCAACAATGACTGCAGCAATAAAACTTTCTGTTATTGCTTGATAGGTCGTGGCAGTGGAAATAGTGGTGGATACTATGGTCAAGGCAACATGGGAGGAGGTGGATGGCGCGGAATGTATTGAAAAGTCACATTGTGTCTACAAAGCGTATTGGAAGGAGACAGTACCTGGTCTACTAGGCTTTCTTACAAAATTTAAATTTCTTTTGTATTGAAAACTTTATAATGACTGAAGGAATGTGTTTTCCCATTATTTGGTAAGCAACAGATTGCGATGGGGAAATCTGTTTTCTGTAGGTTTTATTTGTTGCATACTCTTGACTTTAAATAAATTTTTTATATTCAAACCACTGATGTTGATACTTTTTATACTAGTTGTTCTAAAAGGTATGTTGCATATTCCAAAACTCTGTTCATTTAAGAGATTCAGATCATTAAAACTGTTGTCTCATTATTGATACAACATTCTGTAAAATGAAGCAACCATCAACTTGATAGTACATTTGTTGAGATTTGAAGCAAAAGCATAGGATAGTTTCCTTCAGTTAATCTGTTGCAAAATGCTTGCCAGTGAAGACATGTTCCCAAAGCAAAATGTCTCAAACTGTGCTGAGCACGATGGCTGTGAGTTAAAATTCTGGAATGACCCTAATTGATGTTTGAACTATGTGCATTCCAGAAATCTCTTAACTCTTAAAGTATATGTAAGTCATTGGTACACATCTGCATCAATTTTCATACTCTTATCTTTTGCAATCAGATTTTCAGACATGGTATGTTGTGAATAATATCGTATGGCCAATATCAGATATGAAGCATCCAATTATTATTTTAGTGGACTAAAGCAACATCCATAGGACGATCAGTAACTATTTTCCTAGAAGTAAACATTTAAGTTAGGGATGCTGTTCCTATTGCTGACGACAGGCATTTCAAACAGAGATTAACAGATGATTAGATTACACAAATATGTGGTCTGGTTGCTGTGCATTTAACATGTAAAATGTTTGGATAAAATACTGTTTAGACACTTAAGCATTCTCTGTGTGTTGAAGAAAAGGTACTACATATTTATGGTTGTTGTTTATTTCCTTCCATTTCAATTGCTTGAAATCCTACAAATTCTTCCCAACAATTTGTCAAGTGTGATCAATTACTGAAACTTTGTTGCCTGTTTTTGCTAGTAATGTTATGTATGTAATAAATGTCTTATTGTGGGAGATAGCAAAATAGACTCCATTCTAGGAACTGTGTGGTGTCAATTAATCTAAGATGTACATAAACTGAGGGTGAAAATAACACATTTAAAGGTTTGATTCTTTATTCTTAAAAGAAAACCACAGGGAATCACTTTTTAAAAGATTGATGGCTCATAAATTATAATTTGTTTAGACATCTTTTTAAAAACCTTTAGAGATTTGACCGTAATTGCTATAAACATTGTTGCTCAAGCGGTTAAGTGGCTGCATGTGTGAACTAGGACTTGATTTTTGGGAAACTGAGGGCCACAAAGCAGAGGGAAGTTTGGAAGCTTACAAAGGGCCAGAGAGCATAGGAGACAAGCAGAGACATGGAAAGTGGAGGGAGAGATACACATAAGATGCCATTCTTTAATTAAAACCAGTGTTTGTGATCCAAACTTCAGTTTGTAAAATGTCAGAACAGTTCTAGGCGCAGCTCATAGGAGTTGCATGAATACTATGCAGGTATAACTGAATCCAGCCTCAAGCTGTCAGATGCAGCAGACTGACAGATTTCTATTGTGCCACCATGTTCGTACCCATTGACAAGTTTATCCCCTTCTCTGGAAACATGTCAGGGACTGGCAACTGGTATCTCATAGACCAGGACTGCTCTAAGCCATTAAATATTTTTGCTGTATTTACGAACCTTAAGAGTTGAAAGTTTCCAGAACTAAAAAGGAGAAAGCCTGGGGAAGTTGGATTGTGTAATCCCCCCATCTTTGCTGAGAGGTAGAATAGCTCCCATGGATCACCAGTGACAAGCAACTACTCTACTTGCTAAAATAATTTATGTTCACCTTGTAAATTGGATGGAAATTAACACTTGAAGGAATGTACATTCAATAAGTTTACCTATTTGTATAAATCGTATTAGGTCAACTGCTATAAATTCCTTGTTACTCTGTATGTCCTTACCGCACTTCACAGTAACACAACACTGATACACAATATTAATACTGGGTTTCATTTCAGTATAACCGTGGCAAGCTGAACATGCATTTCTAGATTCAGGAATGGATTATGAAGCCTTCAATGTGAAAGACGGATCTATATCAGTTTCTAATACTTGAGACCAAATGTAACACCTGTGGTTGAGCTGCTTATGCAGCCTTTAGAAACTAGTCTTTCATCTATTAGTTGTTATACTACATATGCCACACCAATATCAGTTGTAAATCAAGAGAAGGGAGAATAAATTATTACAATACTTAAGCTGAGAGAATGTGACTTGCCCAAGGCCACCCAGTAGGCCTGTGGCTGAGTGTCTAGTCCAACACTCAAACCACTACACCATGCTGGTTTTTCATTTATTTAGCATGAGCTGTGGGTTGTCTGCATTTCCACAAAACCTCAGACACATAAGTATGTATGTTCTGAAAAATACATCTGAATATATGGTTATGGACAAATCTCTTCTACCCAGCACCAATTTCTGAAAGAATGTGATTCCCTTAATGAATGGAATAGGGGTGTCAAGTATATAGATTACACAATTGTATACTCCCCGCACAAGGCTCTCTTGCCCAGTAGGATAACCTGCAGTTGACAGACAATGCATTACGGACAAGAAATCAATCTGTATGGCACACAGGCATCAATATTTCTCTTTTCACTGCCCTGACTTGGATACTGTTTTGTGAGCAACTTCTCATGATTTTCTTGTGGACTCCTCAAAAATTCTGCAAATCCTCTTCCCATCTCTCGCTGTCTGATGTTCGACATTTTCCAGAATGCTACTTCGTATATTTTGCAGATTACAGTATAAATACACCCGCTTTTATCTGGTTTTAAATTGACTTTAAAAAAATGACAATTTAAAGGGCAGAATGTCTGGAGGGTTCAAAGTAAGAGCATTCGACTTTCTGGAGGCTAAAAGCTGGATAATCTGGATTGTATGGCAGTGTAGAAGGGCACTCAGTTAACCAGCATTCACGGGGAAGAGTGATAGATGCTGGATACATGTCCTTTCTGGTTACTTGGAAAGTTATTTTAAGGACTGCCTAATACTATAACTTATGTTATACCATACCGTGTTGACTTGATAAATCATTATTGAAATTGAAATATCAATCTATGTATATAATAAAAGTCAGTGTTTGTATGCGGAGGGAGGGCAGTGTATGGGCAGCTTTCTGATTGGGTGCCACTTTCACAGGCCACTGTGACCAGCACGGGTGATGGACCTGGACCAAACTTGGCACACATAACCCCCATTACCCCCTTTATGTCCTGGTGAGGTTTGGGGGAGGACAGACAACAAATGATGGGATTTGTCGTATTTTCAAATGCTTTGGTTCCCACAGACTACTGTGGCCCCAACAAAGACTGATAAAGACCAAACTTGGCACACAGAGCACCCATGACCCACTCTACATCCCACTGCAGTTTGGAGGAGGGCGGACCATGGATGATGGGATTTGAAGTACCTCCACTCACTTCCTGAGACCACTGCGACCCTCATCCCAATGAGTGATTCAAGACCAAACTTGGCACACAGAGCACCCATGAGTCTACATCCTGGTGCTGTTTTGCGGAGGATGGACAACGAATGATGAGACTTGAAGTACCTTCACTTCCTGATAGCACTGTGAGCCACATAAATAACTGTTAAAGACCAACCTTGGCACATAATGCCTTTCTCAAATCACTCGGGCACTGCCGGGACCCCAAGCTAGTAGTAAATAAAAGTAAATATTGCATTTCACATAATGCAACCCATTTCCGCAAAAAATGATTTTAGCATTTAAACATACTTTCATCCATTTTAACGAAGGCCTCATCTACATGGCCATATAAAATCCAGGTTATCTGCTTTGAACTGGATTACATGAGTCTGCACTGCCCTATAATCCAGTTCAAAGCAGATAATCTGGATTTTATATGGCAGTGTAGAGAGGCTGGGGGCTCTTCCACACAGCCAAATAACCCAGAATATCAAGGCAGATAATCCACAACATTTTTGGATTGGGTTATCTGAGTCCACAGTGCCATATAATCCAGTTCAATATGGATTATATACAGCTGTGTGGAAAGGGTCTAAGGGCCTGTAAAGGAGATGAACAAATATTATATATATATACACACCAGTGTGATGAGGAGACTCAGCGGTGGTGTGTGTTGCTGAGGCTTGACTTTTACAATGTATTTACTTGAGGTACTTCTTTTTAAAAGTAACTCAAACTCAAAATCCTTTCTTCCAATATCTTCAGCCGCCTTCTGAGATAAATGTTCTCAATAAATGGACATGAATCTTAATTATAAAGAACTGATCAATGAAATATTTATTCAAGGATGCACAGGTGTACAAGGTTTGATGGTTATTCAGTTTTTTTTAATGTTACATTTGACTTTATTTTACTTCCACCAGACTGGTTTTAAATTTATTTAACTGTATCTTTTCTTAACTGACACTTCAAGGCACTGGGCTTGCCTTTTTCTCCCTTCAGCTATCCCCACTGAAGTTATGAATAGGTTTCCTTTTCCCCACAGCTCACGAGCTTTCTAATTTAAACAGGTCCAATTGACTATATAAACACACAGACTGAAGACTTAAATTCCTTGGTTAGGTTTCTCAACACACCAGAATCAACTTTCCTCTGTGACCTCACCAAAGATTTGACTCTCCACTGGTGGCAGTTAGCTCCGCCCACTTTGGCTTCTGGCTCATCTAACTTGGTTACATTCCTACAACACGCTCTGTCGCTATGGCAACCCTGGCAAATGTTGGTCTGCACTTATCATAACATCAATAAACATATGCAAAACCTACATTCTAATTAGACATTTCGTTACAGGGCCCTTCCAGACAGGCCCTATATCCCAGGATCTAATCCCAAATTTTCTGCTTTAAACGGGATTATAAATCTGCACTGACAGATAATCTGGGATAAACAGAAACCCTGGGAGCCCTTCCACACAATCGTATATCCCAGAATATCAAGACAGAAAATCCCACAATATCTGAGTGTGGACTCAGATAAACCAGTTCAAAGCAGATATTGTGGGATTTTCTACTAACAAAATGAAGTTCATCAGAGGCAAATGCAAGATACTCCACTTAGGCAGAAAAAACAAAATTCAAAGATACAGAATGGGGGAGGCCTCGTTCAAGAACAGTACGTATGAAAAAGATCTTGGAATCCTCGTGGACAAGTTAAACATGAGCCAACAATGTCATGTAGCGGCAAAAAAAAAAAAAAGCCAATGGGATTTTGGCTTGCATAAATAGGAATATAGTGTCTAGATCAGTGGTTCTCAACGTGTGGGTCCCCAGATGTTTTGGCCTACAACTCCCAGAAAACCCAGCCAGTTTGCCAGCTGTTAGCATTTCTGGAAGTTGAAGGCCAAAACAGGTTGAGAACCACTGGTCTAGATCCAGGGAAGTCCATGCTACCCTCTATTCTGCTTTGGTTAGACCACACCTGGAATATTGTGTCCAATTCTGGGCACCACAGTTGAAGAGAGATATTGACAAGCTGGAATGTGTCCAGAGGAGGGCGACTAAAATGATCAAGGGTCTGGAGAACAAGCCCTATGAGGAGCGGCTTAAGGAGCTGGGCATGTTTAGCCTGAAGAAGAGAAGGCTGAGAGGAGATATGATAGCCATGTATAAATATGTGAGAGGAAGCCACAGGGAGGAGGGAGCAAGCTTGTTTTCTGCTTCCCTGGAGACTAGGATGCAGAACAATGGCTTCAAACTACAAGAAAGGAGATTCCATCTGAACATGAGGAAGAACTTCCTGACTGTGAGAGCCGTTCAGTAGTGGAACTCTCTGCCCCGGAGTGTGGTGGAAGCTCCTTCTTTGGAATCATAGCATCAAAGGGTTGAAAGAGACCTCATGGGCCATCCAGTCCAACCCCCTGACAAGAAGCAGGAATATTGCATTCAAATCACCCCTGACAGATGGCCATCCAGCCTCTGTTTAAAAGCTTCCAAAGAAGGAGCCTCCACCACACTCCGGGGCAGAGAGTTCCACTGCTGAACGGCTCTCACAGTCAGGAAGTTCTTCCTCATGTTCAGATGGAATCTCCTCTCTTGTAGTTTGAAGCCATTGTTCCGCATCCTAGTCTCCAGGGCAGCAGAAAACAAGCTTTCTCCCTCCTCCCTATGACTTCCCCTCACATATTTATACATGGCCATCATCATGTAGGCCTTCTCTTCTGCAGGCTAAACATGCCCAGCTCTTGAAGCCGCTCCACATAGGGCTTGTTCTCCAGACCCTTGATCCTTCAAGTCACCTTCCTCTGGACACATTCCGGCTTAGAGTCAACATCTCCCTTCAATTGCGGTGCCCAGAATTGGACACCAGCGTTTGCTTTTTTGAAGCTTTTAAACAGAGGCTGGATGGGCACCGCTATTCAAGAGAGATATGACAAGCTGGAATGTGTCCAGAGGAGGGCGACTAAAATGATCAAGGGTCTGGAGAACAAGCCCTATGAGGAGCGGCTTAAGGAGCTGGGCATGTTTAGCCTGAAGAAGAGAAGGCTGAGAGGAGACATAATAGCCATGTATAAATATGTGAGAGGAAGTCACAGGGAGGAGGGAGCAAGCTTGTTCTCTGCTTCCCTGGAGACTAGGACGTGGAACAATGGCTTCAAACTACAAGAAAGGAGATTCCATCTGAACATGGAAGAACTTCCTGACTGTGAGAGCTGTTCAGCAGTGGAATTCTCTGCCTTGGAGTGTGGTGGAGGCTCCTTCTTTAGAGGCTTTTAAGCAGAGGTGGATGGCCATCTGTCAGGGCTGCTTTGAATGTGATTTCCTGCTCTTGGCAGGGGGTTGAACTGGATGGCCCATGAGGTCTCTTCCGACTCTATGATTCTAGGACCTCTCTCCAGTTTTCATTCTAGCGATCCTAGAAATTGCAGATAGATGAATGCCCACTCCTCAGCTACTAGAAGTTGTTCCAAATGTTCTGATGGAATCTCCTTTCCAACTCTATGATATTCTGGGATATAGGGCTGTGTGGAAGGGCCCTGTGGTCAGATTCAGGGATACAGGGCATGTCTGGAACGGTCCTAAAACTACACTGCCCCATATTATTTTTGAATTGGATTATATGAGTCTACACTGCCAGACAATCCGGGATTAGATGCTGAGATCTAGGCCAGCATGGAAGGGGCCTGCGAGACTACTGTCCCATTGGTTTCAACAGTATCACGTTATGCGTACAACAGTATTCATTCCTTGGACTGCTTTGGCATTTTCAGTCTTTCAGTCCCACTTCAGCACAAACTTCTGAGGGATACTGAACCTCAAAGGTCGAGCTGAGGCGGGAAAGATGGTCGGCCCGCTTCTCGCGAGAACACTCCAACGGGATCTTTGCTCGCGGTGAGTGAAAGCAGTCTGCGGCGTTTGCGCACGCGCAGAGCGGCGGGGGCAAGGTTCGCGAAAGAGAAAGCGTGTAAGATGGCGGCGCGCTGGGATTCTTTGAGGTTTTGTGGTTGTTTCTTCCCTCCAGTGCAGGCATGGGTAAACTTGGGCCCTTCAGGTGTTTTGGGCTTGGAGGAGATTAGCAACGGAAAGAGAGAAAAGCACCATCGAGGCTGTAGGACCTGGATGGGAATGGCACAGTCCCCCCCACCTGGCGGGCCCACTATCTTGCCCTCAACGGAACGCCCGATTTCACACAACGGGGGCCACGGCCAGTCCTTACAGTCCGAGAGCGCGGCGGAGTCCGACACTAACCATCAGAGTACAATTTACGCACCATAAATTGTCCCTCTTGATGTTCGCACTAGTACCACAGCAAAGTACTGTACGTGAGGAGTTGTCTCAAATCCTATGTTTCAAAACTACGGTGTTGAACAATGGACGGATAAGACATCCCCTGCCTAGCATATATGACACGCACAAGAGAGGAACATAGCCAGTTAAAGAAATAAGTAAGGCAGACTGAGGGCGAGGATGAGAAGAGACAATTTATTATTTATTTATTAACTTATTTGTACCCCGCTACCATCTCCCCAAGGGACTCGGTGCGGCTTACATGAGGCCGAGCCCAAACACAACAACAAAAGCAATAAAACATCAATACAAGCAATTAAAAACATAGACAATAAAAAACAACATTATCAAAAAAGCAACACATAGTTAAAACAGTGGGGAGGCCAAATGTAAAGTTAAAATTGGAAATAATGCTGAGCCATGAACGAGAGGTGATACTAGTGTTTGTGGAGGGCATACAAGCAGACTCAGGGAAATGTAAAGTGCTTTGGAGGACAAAGTGCTATGGGATTCAATTATTCCAGGAAGGCACACTGGAACAGCCACGTCTTCAAGCTCTTCCTGAAGATTGCCAGGGTTGGGGCCTGTCTGATGTCTATAGGGAGTGAGTTCCAGAGTCAAGGGGCCACCACCGAAATGGCCCTCTTCCTCGTCCCCACCAAACACACGTGCGATGCTGGTGGGATCGAGAGTAGGGCCTCTCCGGAAGATCAAAGAGATCGTGTGGGTTCATATACAGAGATGCGATCACATAGGTAGGCGGGTCCCAAACTGTTCAGGGCTTTATAGATAAGAACCTGAACCTTGAATTGGGTCCGGTAGATGAATGGTAGCCAGTGGAGTTCCCTGAACAGGAGGGATGACCACTCTCTGTAAGGAGCCCCAGTTAACAACCTGGCTGCTGCCCATTGGATCATCTGAAATTTCCAGGCCATTTTCAAGGGCAGCCCCACGTAGAGTGCATTGCAGTAATCCAGTCTAGAGGTGACTAAGGCATGGCCCACTTTGGCCAGATCCACCTTCCCAAGGTACGGTCGCATTTGGCGCACGAGTCTTAATTGTGCAATGGCCCTCCCGGCCACCACCAACGCCTGAGCCTCAAATGTAAGAGAAGAATCAAGGAGGACCCCAAAACTGTGGACCTGCGACTTCAGGGGGAGTGCAACCCCGTCCAGCACAGGTTGCCACCCTATACCCCGGTCTGGTTTGCGATCAACCAGGAGGACTTCTGTCTTGTCAGGATTAATCTTCAGCTTGTTCATCCTCATCCAGACAGCCACAGCGGCCAGGCACTCGTCTAGCACTTGAGGGGCTTCCTTGGAGTTAGATGGAAAAGAGTAGTAGAGTTGTGTGTCATCTGCATAGAGATGGCACCCAACTCCAAAACTCCGGATGACCTCTCCCAGCGTTTCATGTAGATGTTAAAAAGCATGGGAGACAGAATGGAGCCTTGCGGGACCCCACAGGTCAAAGGCCAGGGGTCCAAGCAGGCGTCTCCCAGCTTCACCATCTGGGATCGACCCTCCAGGAAGGACCGGAGCCACGACAAAGCCGTACCACCAAGGCCCATCCCGGAGAGGCGTCCCAGAAGGATACCATGATCGATGGTATCGAAAGCCGCTGAGATGTCCAAGAGAACCAACAGGGTCACACTCCCCCTGTCTTTTAGGAGGCCCAGATTCTTTTCGTTTCGTCAGTTCTGTAGGCCTTCCCTAAGAGGACTATTCGTTCTGGATCAAAAGTTTGCAGAAATTTATTTATTTATTTCATGCAGTTTTACCTCATCTTTCTCCGCCCCGAAGGGGGACTCAGGGCGGCCTCACACAAGCACCGTACGATGCTGTCAATTCAAAGTAAAATTAAAGCATTAAAAATATTAAAAATCATTAAAACATATTACACAGTTTCATTAGACAGTAGTACGAGAGACCAGATTGCCAATATCCGCTGGATAATGGAGAAAGGCAGGGAGTTTCAGAAAAACATCTATTTCTGCTTCATTGACTATTCTAAAGCCTTTGACTGTGTGGATCATAATAAATTGTGGCAAGTTCTTGGTGGGATGGGCATACCAAGCCACCTTGTCTCTCTCCTGAGGAATCTGTACAAGGACCAAGTAGCAACAGTAAGAACTGACCACGGAACAACAGACTGGTTCAAGATTGGGAAAGGCGTACGGCAAGGCTGCATACTCTCACCCAACCTTTTAACTTGTATGCAGAACACATCATGCGATGTGCGGGGCTTGATGAATGCAAAGCTGGGGTGAAAATTGCTGGAAGAAACATTAACAACCTCAGATATGCAGATGACACCACTCTGATGGCCGAAAGCGAGGAGGAGCTGAGGAGCCTTCTAATCAAGGTGAAAGAAGAAAGCGCAAAAGCTGGGTTGCAGCTAAACATCAAAAAAAACCAAGATTATGGCAACAAGAATGATTGACAACTGGAAAATAGAGGGAGAAAACGTGGAGGCCGTGACAGACTTTGTATTTCTAGGCGCAAAGATTACTGCAGATGCAGACTGTGCCAGGAAATCAGAAGACGCTTACTTCTTGGGAGGAGAGCAATGTCCAGTCTCGATAAAATAGTGAAGAGTAGAGACATCAGACTGGCAACAAAGATCCGCCTAGTCAAAGCCATGGTATTCCCTGTAGTAACCTACGGATGTGAGAGCTAGACCATAGGGAAGGCTGAGCGAAGGAAGATCGATGCTTTTGAACTGTGGTGTTGGAGGAAAGTTCTGAGAGTGCCTTGGACTGCGAGAAGATCCAACCAGTCCATACTTCAGGAAATAAAGCCCGACTGCTCATTGGAGGGAAGGATACTAGAGACAAAGTTGAAGTACTTTGGCCACATCATGAGGAGACAGCAAAGCCTAGAGAAGACAATTATGCTGGCGAAAGTGGAAGGTAAAAGGAAGAGGGGCCGACCAAGGGCAAGATGGATGGATGGCATCCTTGAAGTGACTGGACTGACCTTGAAGGAGCTGGGGGTGGTGACGGCCGATAGAGAGCTCTGGCGTGGGCTGGTCCATGAGGTTATGAAGAGTCGGAGATGACTGAACGAATGAACAACATCTCCCGAAGGACTCGGTGCGGCTTACAAAGGCCAAGGCCCTCAATAAAACAACAGCATAACAAATACAACAATAAAACTCATAAAGCAAACCAATAAACATTAAAGCAATAACAGTAAAACATCAAAACAATACATCATGACACATTTAAAACTAGGGCCGGGCCAAATGTAATGAATAAATTAAAAGTGCTGGACATGACAGGTGAAATGTAAGGATTTTAGGGTAGGTGCGATGTGCAGGCAATCTTAAATCTCTGGTAAAGTGCGTTTGGAACATGATGCTGGGAGTTTCCTATTCCGGAAAGGCACACTGGAACAGCCAGGTCTTCAAGCTCTTCCTAAAGACTGCCAATGTTGGGGTTTGTCTGATATCCTTGGGGAGAGAGTTCCAGAGTCGGGGGGCTACCACAGAGAAGGCCCTGTCCCTCGTCCCCACCAACCGTGCTTGCGACGCAGGTGGGATCGTGAGCAGGGCCTCTCCAGATGAACAGAGGGATCGTGTGGGTTCACTTGTCTTCTAAAGGACAGGAGGGTGGTGGCCAACCTGATGTCCCTGGGGAGAGAGTTCCACAGACGGGGGGCCACTGCCGAGAAGGCCCTGTCTCTCGTCCCAACCAACTGTGCGATAATGGTGGGATTGAGAGCAGGACCTCTCTTGAAGATCTTAAATTTTGTGATGGCTTGTGGGATGAGATATGTTGGGACAGGTAGTCTGGGCCAGAACCATTTAGGGCTTTAAAGGTTAAAGCCAGCACTTTGAATTGTGCTCGGAAACTGATTGGCAGCCAGTGGAGTTGGCGTAACAAAGGGGTTGTATGTTCCCTGTATGTTGCTCCGGTGAGCAACCTGGCTGCCTGACCGTTGGACTAGTTCAGGGGTCCGCAAACTTTTTAAACAGAGGGCCAGGTCACAAAACCTCAAACTGTTGGAAGCCTGGATTATAATTTGAAAAAACATGAATGAATTCCTATGCACACTGCACATATCTTATTTGTAGTGCAAAAGACACTTTAAAACAATACAATAATTAAAATGAAGAACAATTTTTACAAATATAAACTTACTAGTATTTCTATGAGAAGTGTGGGCCTACTTTTGGCTGATGAGATAGGATTGTTGTTGTTGTTGTGTGCTTTTCAAGTCATTTCAGACTTAGGTTGACCCTGAGCGAGGGCCGGGTAAATGACCTTGGAGGGCCGCATTCGGCCCCCAGGCCTTAGTTTGAGGACCCCTGGACTAGTTGAAGCTTCCGGGTAGTCTTCAAAGGCAGCCCTATGTAGAGTGCGTTGCAGTAGTCTATACGGGATGTAACGAGCGTGGACCATTGTGGCCAAGTCAGACTTCTCAAGGAACTATTCTTTTGAAGTAGATGCCTATCTGGCCTTATATGACCAAGTAGAAATAAATTGGTGGAGGAAATGCTATATACAAGGTCACGTAACTCTGCTCAGTTAATTTAATGAGTTTGGCAGTTTTGAACAACCAGTATCGCCGGCTGGGATGGGAAGGAGGCTGGGCTCACCTTTTGTGGGTTTTCTGGACTTTCACCTCAAGCTTTGAGTCACTTCATCACATTTTCCCAGTCAGTAGCATGTAGCCAGCAATCTGTGTGCTACACGGAGGAGGTCCTCAGACCCCTGGAAAGGCCTAAACAGGGATGCAGTTTTCAGTGTCCCAGGACTGAATAGGATGAGTTCAACCAATAAAATATGTTTCATTGTAACATGTCATATTAACAACAACAACAACAACAACAATAACTTTATATCCTGCCCTTTCTCCCCAGGGGGACTCAGGGCGTTTTACAACAGATATTGGCAAACATTCAATGCACTGAAAAGCTGAACAAAGACAAAAATAACCAACCCTCAAATCCCTAAAACAAACCCACACTTTACTGCAATATTACCAGTAATATTATATGTAATATATAATAGACAATTATATTATTACATATTATATTGTGCTATATTATTATAACAATATATATATATATATATACACACACACACACATAAAATAACTATATTATCATTATATTAAGGACTCTCATAGTCAAGGGTCCAAATTCTGAAAGTTTGCAACTGCAAAGGGGAGTATGGATCTACTATGGTGTCTTTTTTGTGTAAATTTTTATTCTGTTATATGAAGAAGAAGAAAACATACAATCTTAAAAATTTAACAATCAAGATACACATGCTATTTCTACAGTCCTACCACCTCTCTCTTCCCAGCCATAAACCACCATCCATGACTTCCGCCACCACACCATATGGAACGATTATTAAACCAAACTCTATCCTTATCATTACATTAATATATTCCTTATGCAGCTATTTCAAAATCTATTTTCTTTTTAAGTACCCAAAAACAAGTCTCCATTTTCTAAGTAATTCTTCATTGTTTCTTCCCCTTATGTTATTGGAGAGCTTGGCCATTTGGATATACTCAACTAATTTTCTTCTCCAGTCCTTAATGAGTACTTCTTTTTTCCCATTCCAAGACTTTTCTATTGTAATTCTCACAGCCACAAAACTATATTGGCAAATTTCTATAATATAATAAAATAAAACTTTATTTATATATCGCCTCTCAGGGCAGTTTATACACACAAAAAAGGCAAAGATTCAATGTCCTACACAAATACAAGCATCTCAAAATAAAACAAAATAATACAAGGTAATAACCATGGCTCCCTCGTGGCGCAGCGGGTTAAAACACTGAGTGCTAAACTTGCTGACCGAAAGGTCAGCAGTTCGAATCCAGAGAGCAGGGTGAGCTCCTGCTGTTAGGCCCAGCTTCTGCCAACCTAGCAGTTTGAAAACATGCAAATGTGAGTAGATCAGTAGGTACCGTTTTGGCAGGAAGGTAATGGTGCTCCATGCAGTCATGCTGGCCACATGACCTAGGAGCTGTTTACGGACAACAATGGCTCTTCAGCTTAGACATGGAGATGAGCACTACCCTCCAGAGTTGGACACAACTAGACTTAATGTCAGGGGAAACCTTTACTTTAATAACCATTAACTTATGACAAAAGAGAAATTAACATCAAAATGAAAAACAAGAGTATGAATAATCGAGTATATTGTTTAATCGAGTAAGCATAATTATACTAATAACATAATTAACAAGACATAAAACCTTGAGAACACGATTACAATACATAAAAATACGTCTTTACTAATGGTGTTCTGTGCTGTGGTTCTTGGGTGTTCATAGTTCTTGTGGTGACCTTGCCGTAGGGTTTTCTTAGTAGAATTTAATGAGGGGGTTGTCTTTACACAGAAGATCAAGATAGATAAAGCCATTGTCTCTTTTTCTTCCCTGGGTTTAATATTAACTGAGACATTTGTACAACAGTTGGAAAGAAGAGTTACCATTTTGCAAGAGAACCTTCTGAAAACAAGCAAAACTCCAAAGAGGGAAAATGCAGATTTCTATTTTCACCATTGATACATTTACAGATCAGCCATTTCGTGGCAACCCTGCAGCTGTTTGTCTTCTTGAAGATGTAAGTTTTTGACATTTGCCTTTAACTTAAACATGACTACTGCTTAACAATATCCTAATTTTTGGTTGGTGAATTGATGCAGTTTCTGCTAATTTCAATATGACTTTGTTTAACTAGTGACAGTTTAGATGTCATGGTACAATGACCAATGACATGTGCTGTTTATTCAGAAATTAAAAAGTTATTAACTAATTAAAATTCTCTTTAGAAAGTGGTTTGAGGGGCACCAGTGGGCTTGTATCTTCCTTCAGATCACACACCAAAATACTGCTCATAGTCTTTCTGCGGTCTGTACGTCACACAATAGCTGTCTCCTTGCTTTACAGTTTGCTGCACCAAGTCTCTGTCCCTCCGAGTTGACTTATAATGGAGAAATACCACATTTCCTGTCCCATACAAGTCTTTCATCTTCTAGATCAGGGGTCCACAAACTTTTTAAACAGAGGGCCAGGTCACAGTCCCTCAAACTGCTGGTGCGCCGGATTATAATTTGAAAAAAGAAGAAGAATGAATTGCTATGCATGCTGCACATATCTTATTTGTAGTGTAAAAAACACTTTAAAACAATACAATAATTAAAATGAGGAACAATGTAAACACATATAAACTTATTAGTATTTCAATGGGAAATGTGGGCCTGCTTTTGGCTGATTAGATAGAATTGTTGTTGTTATGTGCTTTCAAGTCTTTTCAGACTTAGGTTGACCCTGAGCGAAGGCCAGGTAAATGACCTTGGAGGGCCGCATCTGGCCCCCGGGCCTTAGTTCGAGGACACCTGCTCTAGATCACTCAATACACATGGCAGCTTTTACATATACTCAGAGATGAACTGGTTGCTTAGGAAAACAGAAAAAGTTTTGTGTGTGGTATCCATGGAGTCCCCTGTGGCACAGTGGGTTAAGGTGCTGAGCTGCTGAGCTTGTTGACCAAAAGGTCGCAGGTTCAATTCCAGGGAGCGGCATGAGTTTCCGCTGTCAGCCCTAGCTTCTGCCAACCTAGCAGTTCGAAAATATGCAAATGTAAGTAGATCAATAGGTACCGCTCCGGCGGGAAGGTAATGGCGCTCCATGCAGTAATGCTGGTCACATGACCCTGGAGGTGTGTATTGACAACGCCGGCTCTTCGGCTTAGAAATGGAGATGAGCACCACACTCCAGAGTCAGACATGACTGGGCTTAATGTCAAGGGAAAACCTTTACCTTTACCTGATCATGGTTGCTGGATATGTTGGATAAAAATGAGAATTAGAAGCATCTTGAGCTTTAGATCCCAATCATGAGGTCTTTATGAAATGCACATTATGGAAAATATTTCAAAGCATGCACGAACCATCTTATATGTGCTATAAAATGCTTTTTCCCAATTAGGAACTGGAAGAAAACTGGCACCAAAAAATTGCAAATGAAATGAACCTTACAGTAACTGCATTCCTCAGAAAATTGAACCCGACAGATGATTTTGCCAAAAGTAAGACCCTTTTGATAATTTTTTAAAAAATTGTTGTTTCACTGGTGGTTTCAGGTAAATCGTGGTTTTTATTGATTAATGTTGAAGGAAAATGGTGAAAAGGAAATTGAATAGAAAGATGGATAGAAAAGATGTTAGGTGAAGTCACCCTTTGTTTTCTATGTTGGAGAAGAAACAGTGCTGGTATTAGCCTTTCAATAAAGGTATGTCAACTCATCTTTAAATAGGCTATTTATTAACTGAAAGTAAAACCCTGATTCAAAGTGTGGTGACTATAGAGAATTAAGATAGATCATAAGTCCTTTCTTTTGCAGAAATCCTTTCTGCCATTGATCTGCCAATTGAATGACCTGTCAGTAGTTCTGCTCTGTCTTAAGATCTGCTACCAAAAGAGCAAAAACAAACAACAAAAAAGAGGTGAACATGGATAAATGCTGGAGGAGTTGAGTGCCACTTACTCTTTAGACCCAGGCTTCCCGGGGACATAGCCAGCCACCATGTGGTCATAATGACATACACAAATGATGGTATTATTTATTATTTAAAACATTTATATCCCGATCTTCTCAACCTACGTAGAGGGACTTAGACCGGGTTACATCAAGGATTCAATGCTAATAGTACAATCTAAAAACATCATATAATGGAAATTCTGAGTGGTAATTCTGAGTGCTTTCCCATATCCTGAGGTTGGAAGTGGCTTGGATCCAATGCTCCTTCAGTTTGTGTAATTTCAGCCTTGCTGTCTCTTGGCCAGTAAGGGTTGTGCTTCAGACAAAGAACATAACCTTTAGCATTCCATTTAGTACAACTGAATTGTGCAACTTTATATCATGCAGCAACTTAAAAAAATATGTTGATGCCTTAATCATGTGTAAGTCAGCAAACTTAATATAATGTATGAAAACTCAGCTTCTCTGTTCTTTTTGAAGAAGTATATTATAGCCTAAATGTAGTTGTTACTGGCTCTCATTGCTTCTTTTCTTAGGCTCCCATTTTGGACTGAGGTGGTTTACCCCAACTGAAGAGCTCCCTCTCTGTGGTCATGCCACCCTTGCATCGGCTGCTATCCTATTCCACAATAAGAGTAAATAACATTTACCAATTTTGTGTTTGATACTGTGAATACTTTGGAAGCCTGCATTATAGTTATATTTTTTCTCATTTAAAAACAGAAAATGCGAATTGCACTCTCACATTTCTAACGCGGAGTGGAGAATTGATTGCCAGAGAAGCTGAAGATCATATAATCTTGGATTTGCCCCTTTATTTCACCCATCCACAGGTTAAATTTAAATAGTTCCTTTTCCAATTGCTAGCATTTCTTCAAATGAGAAGATAAAATTCATGCATTATTTTCATTTTTTTCTCTTTTTTACTCAGGATATTAAGGAAGTGGAAGAGTTAGTGAAGGTATGGCCCCAATATTATAGTGTAATGATTGTGTTGTACTGCATTGGGATTGTTATTAATCAGTCCTGTTTCTCACATGGTTTTGACACAGTTACTCTCTTTTTTCCTGGAATAGTATGGCTTTGTATGTTATTGACATATTTCCAGCATGGCCTTTGTACACCAGATTTTGTAAATATAATTTGAATATTTGATGAGATCTTTTTATTAACTCATGAATTTTGTTCTGCATGAGGATGTTTTACTCAAGATAGTGTGTTTAAATTAAGTTATGAACTCTGAATGATAATTTTTATTAACCCAATGAATAATGTCTGTGCCATGATAAAAAAAGTCCTTCTGAATTTCTTAAAATTGCCATGCACCTCTGTAAAAAAATTAGGAGATACTGTCTTCTATTTCAGAGTTCAAACATTTAAAAATAATGTAGCCATCCCTTTTGGATTTTGTTATAGTTCACCATAGTGAGAAATTGTTGCCTGTAATCATTTGCACCCCCAGTGATTCCTTTGGAGTTTTGACGTCAGATAAAAGAGTACTTTGAAGATGGATCCAGCAGTTCCATCATTTTATTTATTTTATTTTTAATCTCAAATAATATCTGCAGACTGACTCCAAATTGAGACTCTAGAATGGCAGGTGAAGAGTTTTATCACCTGCATTCTCCACTGTGATCCTGTAATGTTTGCCTTTCACTTAGAGCAGGGGTGGGGAACTTCTGGCCCTGGGGCTGTTTATGGCCCCAACATATTTTAGTCTGCTCCTTGGTCTCTCACCCAAATACTGAATCAAGTACCATATAAGGCCAGCAAAATCATTTGGTCTGTCCTGGGGCAGGCATCCTTCACCAGTCCATGCACACACGTAACCTGTCTCCTATTGCTCCTCAGAACCACCACGCTGATTCTACTATGGGCTGGGTGCCACTTACTATTTAGACCCAAGCTGCTTCCTGGTTCCTCTCCTCACGCAGTTGCATTATCCTTATGCTGCTCTTGTTTTTGCCAACTGAACTGAAGCTGGTAAACATGTATGCATTCAGGCAGCCACGTGTACTGCGTTGGCTTTCAAGCTTTCATTTGATATTAAGATATAACTTATAATAATAGAATTATATATTGTTTGACCTGGCAATGATGTTATACATATCCAAGTGATCCTTGGCAGAAGAAAGATTCCCCATCCCTGCCTTAGAGGATATGAAGGGATCTTTGTGTAAAAATAACATTGGTAGCATCAAGACCCTTTTGGCTTTATTTTTATTTATTAATCCATTTTTATATACCGCCACTCCTTGAAGGCTCGGAGCAGTTTACAATATACATATGTGATGCATTACATTCAAAATCAAAGAAAAATTTCAATCAGCAAGATTCAAATGCCAGCCTAAATAAATAAGTTTTACAAGCTCTACGAAAAGATAGTAAGTCTCGGAGAGCTCGTGTTTCCACTGGCAAGGCATTCCACAGGTAAGGAGTCACCACCGTGAATGCTCTATGCCTAGTAGACATCAGGGGAAAGGTCCTAAAATTGGGAATTTCAAGGAGATTCTGATCATCTGAATGGAGTGATCTCGGGGGTTGGTAGGGGGTGAGGTGGTCCCTCAGGTACTCCGACCCCAGGCCATATAAGGCCTTAAAGATTGCTCAATCAGCAACTAGTGCAGTTGTTGCAAGATTGGAGTGATATGACACCTCGCTGGGACCCCTGCGAAAAGCCGGGCAGCAGCATTTTGCACTAGTTTAGTTTTCCAGATCACCAACAAAGGCAGGCCTATGTAGAGGGCATTACAGTAGTCCAACCTTGAGATTATCGTAGCCTGGATCATCGTGGCCAGGTTGTCCCTGGATAGATTGGGAGCCAGATGCCTAGCCTGATGCAGATGGGGGGCACACCTACTCACACCTCCACTAGGGTAATATTGATAATATTTTCCTGCCAAGGCAGACTTTATTAGAACTGTAATAAAATGGTGCATGAAAATGAAGTATGGTAATGATGTGCAAAGATTATCATGCATTTTTATCTCCAGGCAGCTGTAGGCGATAAGAGTGTTCAGGATGTTCGCTATTCTCCAGACACAAAAAACCTTCTTGTTCGTCTCAGTGATGCTTATGAAAGGTACTTGCATTTCTGTTACACATTTCTTGGGTGGTTATTTGTACATTGTCTGTGTCCCACTTCCCTCCTCCTTCTATGGCTTCTTCAGTTTATTTGGCATTGAATAATGGAATCATAGAGAGTTAAAAAGGGCTTTCTCTACTACCAATGCCATTTTTTGCTGCAGTTAGTTGTTAAGTTGGCTTTTTCCTTGGCATATATCTTGCTGCTGGCCTCCTCTTTGTGCTTCTTCACCCTCATTATCTTCAGGAACATATAGGAAGTGATTACTATGTTGGATCTATTCTAAATCCATTCTAATTTTTTTCTACTCCTGACAGTGAATATCCTCTGAGTGCTTTTTCAGTGTTGTACTCTTCTTCGTTCTCATTGGCATTTTCTTCATGTTGGTTCCATGAGATCAGTTCTCCCTCTGTTCTGTCCAGGATGTCCTCGAGTTTTGCTGATACTTTGAAGCATCTTGACACTTAACTGCAGTGTTCTGACCTCCTCTTTCAAGCTGTAAGTGAAGTCAGTGAGGTTTTCTGTTAAGAAGACAAACATTGCAGCAGTCAACAGCAGATCCTTGTGCCCCCCATCCTTGCAATTATTTTTTCCACCTCTTTTATGCTGTAATACCTTTTACTGATATATTTTTTGGGCTTGCACAAATCATGGCCCAGCCTTTTAAATTTTTAAATTGCCTTGAACAAGCAGGATTACTTTTAATATATGTGTGTTATGGTGAGAATTTTTATGCTTATATTTTGTTTCGTTAATTTTATGGTTATGTTGTTTTTACTTTGTATGTTTTGTGATGTTACCTGGGAACCTGAGGGGGAGATGGAGCGATATATGAATAAAGTTTTTTTAAAATTATTATTATTATTATTATTATTATTATTATTATTATTATTATTGTTATTATTATTATTATTGTGGCTGCTAGTTCTGCCCCAAGCAAGTCAGCGACTTAGCAGAGGTCCCTTCCCCTTAGACCAGGGGTCCTCAGACTTTTTAAACGAAGGGCCGGGTCACAGTCCCTCAAACTGTTGGAGGGCCGGATTATAATTTGAAAAAAAAATGAATGAATTCCTATGCACACTGCACATATCTTATTTGTAGTGCAAAAAACACTTAAAAACAATACAATAATTAAAATGAAGAACAATTTTAACAAATATAAACTTATTAGTATTTCAATGGGAAGTGTGGGCCTGCTTTTGGCTGATGAGATAGGATTGTTGTTGTTGTTGTTGTTGTGTGCTTTCAGGTCGTTACAGACTTGGGTTGATCCTAAGCGAGGGCCGGGTAAATGACCTTGGAGGGCCGCATTCGGCCCCCGGGCCTTAGTTTGAGGACCCCTGCCTTAGACCATATGCTTAAGGTGAGCATATGGTCAAAACAAAACAAAAGCCCTCACATAAGCCTTCAAAACAAACTAATGGTGACTTCTGAAAATCTCTCCGCAGAGACTGTGTTACAAAGACAGAGGCAGCAACTACAGTGAGCTTGTGGCTAGTAGGTCTGCCTCCATTAAAATGCATGGAAATGTAACAGGATCTGGAAACTGTTCTCACTTGGGTTTAGCTATTTCTGCAGCAAAAGTTGGGTTTACATATTTAGTGGGAACAAATGGCAGCCTCCTTAATTGAAAGCGAGATACCCCTAAATATAAAATACAATGGAATTGTGACCAAGCTTGTAACTCAATTTGTTCATAAGTCAAAGCAGATCTCTCAATTGAAATGCATTAAAATGATATTAATCTGTTCCAGAGCTCGGTCACAGAACAAACGTACTGTGAAGTCTCCTTTATTATAACTGAGCAAAATTTTGCATAATCTTCAGTGTTTCTGTCTTCCTTCACTCCTACTTTATCCTACTGTTTTGATTACAGTCAATATTTTTTATTCGGAAGACTAGAGAATGTTGTTGAACTGCAAGATGATGAAAATTGCAGTCCAACAACATCTGGAAGGCATCACATTCCCTAATTATGCCAGATTATGCAAGCCTTACAGGCTTGGATGTAATGCTGCCATATTCATTCTAGTTATCTGCATCTGAAATACATGTTTGGTTGTTATTGTTCTTTTTATTTCACATTCAATGCTTAAACATCAAGGGCTGATCTGGAGAAACTGAAAGTGGATGCCGAAAAACTTCTGTCGGCCGAGAAGACTGGGAGAATAAAAGGTGTAATCGTTACACTGAAGGGAGATGGCCGTGAGAAACAGGAAAGCTATGACTTCTACTCCCGCTACTTTGCACCTTGGTATGGTGTTTCGGAGGATCCAGTTACAGGTGTGTTTTTTTGCATGTGAACAGAGAGTGTTTGTTTGACAGAGGTTATGGAAAACTTCCTAGTTGTTGCTTAATTATGTCAATATTCTAGACCAGAGGTTTGCAAACTTCTTAAACAGAGGGCCAGGTCAAAATCCCTCAAATTATTGGAGGGCCGGATTATAATTTGAGAAAAAAAAATGAATGAATTCCTATGCACACTGCACATATCTTATTTGTAGTGCAAAAAACACTTTAAAACAATAGAACAATTAAAATGAAGAACAATTTTAATAAATATAAACTTATTAGTATTTCAATGGGAAGTGTGGGCCTGCTTTTGACTGATGAGATAGGATTGTTGTTATTGTTGTGTGCTTTCAAGTCATTTCAGACTTAGGTTGACCCTGAGTGAGGGCCGGTTAGATGACCTTGTAGGGCTGTATCCGGCCCTCAGGCCATAGTTTGAGGACCCCTGTTCTAGAGGCATTCTCTTTTTTGTTTTGTTTTGTTTTGGTTTTTTGTTTTTTAGAGGCATTCTCTCCTGACGTTTCGCCTGCACCTATGGCAAGCATCCTCAGAGGTAGTGAGGTCTGTTGGAACTAGGAAAATGGGTTTATATATCTGTGGAATGACCAGGGTGGGACAAAGGACTCTTGTCTGTTGGAGCTAGGTGTGAATGTTTCAACTGACCACCTTGATTAGCATTTGATGGCCTGGGAGTGCCTGGGGGAATCTTTTCTTGAGAGGTGATTAGATGTCCTTGATTGTTTCCCCTCTGCTGTTTTGCTGTTGTAATTTTAGAGGGGTTTTTTTAATACTGGATCATTTTCAGCAAAAGGACAGAGCCCTGTACCACCTTCAAGTAGGGTTGGGCACCTTTCTATCATATAAGGCAGGGGTCCTCAAACTTTTTAAACAGAGGGCCATGTCACAGTCCCTCAGACTGTTGGAGGGCCGGATTATAATTTGAAAAAAGCATGAATGAATTCCTATACACACTGCACATATCTTATTTGTAGTGCAAAAAACACTTTAAAACAATAGAACAATTAAAATGAAGAACAATTTTAATAAATATAAACGTATTAGTATTTCAGTGGGAAGTGTGGACCTGCTTTTGGCTGATTTGGATTTGGATTGTTGTTATTGTTGTGTGTTTTCAAGTCGTTTCAGACTTAGGTTGCCCTGAGTGAGGGCCGCTTAGATGATCTTGAAGGGCCATATCCGGCCCTCTGGCCATAGTTTGAGGACCCCTGTTCTAGATGAACAGGCACATGGATGGGTTGTTGTAGGTTTTTTCGGGCTATATGGCCATGCTCTAGAGGCATTTTCTCCTAACGTTTCGCCTGCATCTATGGCAAGCATCCTCAGAGGTAGTGAGGTCTGTTGGAACTAGGAAAAAGGGTTTATATATCTGTGGAATGACCAGGTGGGACAAAGGACTCTTGTCTGTTGGAGCTAGGTGTGAATGTTTCAACTGACCACCTTGATTAGCATTTGATGGCCTGGCAGTGCCTGGGGCAATCTTTTGTTGAGAGGTGATTAGATGTCCCTGATTGTTTCCCCTCTGCTGTTTTGCTGTTGTAATTTTAGAGTTTTTTTAATACTGGATCATTTTCAGCAAAAGGACAGAGAGCCCTGTACCACCTTCAAGTAGGGTTGGGCACCTTTCTATCATATAAGGAATAGGGAATGCACATGACCTGTCTTTCTATCATTTCTAGGTTGCAAAGCCCTCTTTGATGGGTCTTATGTGGAGGTGGGCTGGTGGGGTTGGAATTACATCCACAGATGATGGGTGCGTCTTGGCAGAATTGCGTCCTGGTCACTCTTTGCAATGCTCCTGGTCAAGTTTTGTGATTAGGGATCTAGCTTGTGGTTTTTAATATATACTTTTATACGCTTTACTTATCAGTAAAATGTCTCTATTTTTTCAGTAGGTGATCGTGGTCCAGCAATACCAATCAAACAATCTCAGGGTAGTGAGAGCCAAGCCAGGGATGCATTTTAGTGCCCTCCTTCCTGTCACATTCCTGGGTGCACTTCCTTTTAAAATCTGAATTTCTAAACTCTCAATGATAGAACCTTGATAGAGAGTTGACAGCCAGTTAGAACTACATCAGGATCCCATGGACACATAGAGCGCCCCTGAGAGACATTCACAGTGCTTTTTGTTTCTTCGTTCATACCCACTTTGCTATAAGATCTTGCTTGCTTTTACATAAAAGCATGTACATAAAATGATTTAACTTGTCTTGTGTACTAAAGTGTGCTTGTGTCCATATTTTTCAGTTACATGTCAATTTTATCTGTTTTGCACAAACGTTATTTTTAGGAAATGTCCTGTAAGTTTTAGGTAATTTCTGAAATGAAGCATGTGATGAGGTTTAAACACTTGCTACATAAATACTTAGTGTTGCTGTTACTGCTTCTGTAATCTTAAGTTCTTTCCATTTCCTTTTAAGGATTTGCCCACACTGTTTTAAGTAGTTACTGGTCAGAGCAACTGGGGAAAAAGGAAATGTGTGGTAAGAATTCCTGTTTGTAGCATTTTTATTCTGCTCTTTGATCTAAAAGGCTTCCAGAACAGCTTGGGTACAACCATTTTTTTTTAAAAAAAAAAATCTCCAGACCTCCTACTTCAGGCTAAACCTGAAAAACCAGAACTACAAAGATACCTAACAGTCCCAGGCCATAGTGCTGCATAGTTAAAAGAGGCCCATGGATACATGAGTGCCTTCTGTCCCTATAAGGATGTGAAAATCGCAACCACTTTTTCATGTACGGTAGTTCCTCCAAATTGTGCATTCTACTCTTGTCATTTCATAAATCACAACCCTTTGTATTTTTCCCCACACTGGAATTTAATTGAGTTTATAACACATCTAATGTACATAATAATAATAATAATAATAATAATCATCATCATCATCATCATCGTCATCATCCTCTTTATTTATACCCCGCCACCATCTCCCCCAACGGGGACTCGGGGCGGCTTACATGAGGCCAAGCCCGAACAACAGATTACAATAAAATAAGATACAAATTTCAATAAAATAAACAACATAGCATTAAAGTATAAAACATCTCTCTATATATAAATGTTCTGTGCATAATGAGTACCTTAAAAACAAAAGAAGAAGCTCAATTTGGACAGCATACACCTAACAACACAATGTAATGTCCTTCACTCAAAAAATGTTGATTTTGTCATTTGGGAGTTGTAGTTGCTGGGATTTATAGTTCACCTACAATCAAAGAGCATTCTGAACTCCACCAATGATGGAATTGAACCAAACTTGGCACACAGGACTCCCATGAGCAACAGAAACACTAGAAGGGTTTGGTGGGCATTGACCTTGAGTTTTGGAGTTGTAGTTCACCTACATCTAGAGAGCACTGTGGACTCAAACAATGATGGATCTGGACCAAACTTGGCACGAATACTCAATATGCCCAAATAAAGGGTTTGGTGGACATTGACCTTGAGTTTTGGAGTTGTAGTTCAGGGATTTATAGTTCCTCTACAATCAAAGAGCATTCTCAACCCCACGAACGACAGAATTATGGCAAACTTCCCACACAGAACCATCATGACCAACAGAAAATACTGTGTTTTCTGGTAGTCTTTGGTGACCCTTCTGACACCCCTGGCGCCCCCCCCCCCCCGGGTCTTCCCAGGTTGGGAAATGCTGCCTTAAGGCCATCCAGTCCAACTCCTTTCAGCAGGGCAAGAAAACGTAATCATAGAATCATAGAATCAAAGAGTTGGAAGAGACCTCATGGGCCATCCAGTCCAACCCCCTGCCCAAGAAGCAGGAATATTGCATAATCAAAGCCCTCCTGACAAAGGGCCATCCAGCCATTCACACACACACACATATATGTATATGACAGATGCAGTATCAAAGATCTAAAGAAGGACAATTATATGTTGCATGTTCCAGAGTAGGCAAACCAGACAATCTCCACATCAACACTGAAAAAGAAACAGCAAGAAATACTGTTTACCCACAAGCATAAAGAAATTACATATATTAGAAACCAACACTTTCTCATTACTTTATTTTCCAGATCACCAGACTGGGCCACAGCAATGCGTGGCAGGGGACAGCTAGTAAACATATAAACAATATACACAAAACATAAAGAGAAAAAAGCTGTAAACCAAACATAACAACAGCGAGTGGGCCACATGTACATAAAATGATTTAACTTGTCTCGTGTACTAAAGTGTGTTCATATTTTTCAGTTACATATCAATTTTATCTGTTTTGCACAAACTTTATTTTTAGGAAATGTCCTGTAAGTTTTATAAAATATATGAATACTTTGAAATAAGGCGTGCCTTTTGTCTCAACCAATCTTGGAAGATGCAACTACTAGCAAATTAAGATGAAGATATCTTAAAATTCATTTTCCTTTAAGGTTGGAGCTAAACAAGTACTTTATGAGAAACAATGGATTGGATACAAATATAATCATACCTAAGAAATTAAATGCACATACACATATCAAATTCAATAAAATAAATCGGTATACTAAATATGATTCAGTCTGGATCTGGATAGAATCATAGAATTATAGAATCATAGAATCGTAGAGTTGGAAGAGACCTCATGGGCCATTCAGTCCAACCCCCTGCCAAGAAGCAGGAATATTGCATTCAAAGCACCCCTGACAGATGGCCTTCCAGCCTCTGTTTAAAAGCTTCCAAAGAAGGAGCCTCCACCACACTCCAGGCAGAGAGTTCCACTGCTGAACGGCTCTCACAGTCAGGAAGTTCTTCCATGTTCAGATGGAATCTCCTTTCTTGTAGTTTGAAGCCATTGTTCCATCTAGTCTCCAAGGCAGCAGAAAACAAGCTTGCTCCCTCCTCCCTATGACTTCCTCTCACATTATTTATACATTGTTATCATGTCTCCTCTCAGCCTTCTCTTCTTCAGGCTAAACATGCCCAGCTCTTTAAGCCGCTCCTCATTGGGCTTGTTCTCCATACCCTTGATCATTTTAGTCGCCCTCCTCTGGATCTTGAGAAGTAGATGTTGTTGTTTGGCTAGCTTTGAGTGACACAACCATGTACAAATTCAACCTTTCTTCATCTCTTTGTTCAGCATTTCAGTGTTCTGCTCGTGGAGGAAGGCTGAAAATTTCACTTCGGCAGGATGGAAGAGTAGACCTTGGTGGCCAATCAAGCATTGTGTTAAAAGGTGTTCTGACCATTTGAAGAAAACCAGATACACTTTCCAGCCATCAGATTGTTCCCATTGCTGCTGATGTGGATGCACGTCTTAATTGGCAAAACGTGACTACTTAATTCCAAAGGCATAATATTCATAGTTTAGAAGCATTGATTGCACTGTAATCAGTGAGACAGTTAACCATCAGTATATAATCAGTATCATAGTAAATACTGCTGTGAATATAAGTAGAGTTAAATTACAAAGATGATTTTATTAAAAGTGAAAATATAGGAATCATGTTGGAGCCTTATGCCTAAGTAAACTTGATGTCTGCAGGATTCAGAAATATGTATTGCATGTAATGTCAGTGCTTTTGGGTTGCTATGTTGCAGATCCATCAACATGCCTGCTACTCATGAGTGCATGGTGCGCATCAGTGTGCAGTGCAATTTAATGCCCAATGTGTCTCATGTCACAGTGTCCCTAGCACGCTTGACAATATCTTGTTACGCCTTTTCATGGGTCTGTAAAGGGGTTTTAGCACCCCTCCTACATACTAGGCCTGTTCAATACATGGTTCTAAATGGTTCTAAAGTACTTACAAAACTAAAGTTCTGGTGGTGAAAACTTCAGAACTCTTTCAAAATTTAATTATTATTACATCATTGGTATTTTTTTATGACAGAACCAATTAGGAACTGCCATATATAATGAAATTTTGAGAGTTTTGTTAAGAGTTCTGAAATTTTCACCACCAGAACTTTAGTTTTGCAAGAACTTTAGAACCATTTAGAACCATGGCAACCTTTTTAAACAGAGGGCCAGGTCACAGTCCCTCAAACTGTTGGAGGGCCAGATTATAATTTGAAAAAAAATGAATTCCTATGCACACTGCACATATTTTATTTGTAGTGCAAATAACACTTAAAAACAATACAATAATTAAAATGAAGAACAATTTTAATAAATATAAATTTATTAGTTTTTCAGTGGGAAGTGTGGGCCTGCTTTTGGCTCATGAGATAGGATTGTTGTTTTTGTGTGCTTTCAAGTCGTTTCAGACCTAGGTTGACCCTGAGCGTGGGCCAGATAAATGACCTTGGAGGGCCGCATCTGGCCCTTGGACCTTAGTTTGAGGACCCCTGATTTAGAACCATGCATTGAACAGGCCTAGTTACACATAAAAGTCATATTGTATTCCATCAGATCTTTCCAAATAATAATCAATGAATATAAAAGAGACTATTTTAATTTTAGAAATTATGATGAGGAATTTTCTACACTAATAATGAATGTTTAATCTACAAATAAAATAAATTGAGTAATCATGTATCTGCCTTTTTTCCATTAAAAATGTCTCTTAAGCCCTGCCTCTCAGTCCATGTCCATTGACCTTTCCATCCTTGAATACTTTCTGAACCTGTGAAGGCACAGTGATTTAACAAGTGATTCTGTGTGGTCTTCTATTAAGGTACAAAGGCATGTTGATTTTTGAATCTGTGTCTGAATCCAGAAGTTCATACAAGCTGTGAACCTGCCTCTTCAAGGGGAGTGTAACCCCTCCAACACAAGTTGAATCCCTGTTTTCTGATCTGCCTTTCCAGTGAGCAGGAACACATCTCTCTTTCTTGGGAGAGGTCATCCGGGGTTTTGGAGTTAGGTGCCATCTCTACGCAGATGACACACAACTCTACTACTCTTTTCCACCTAATTCCAAGGAAGCCCCTCGAGTGCTGGACGAGTGCTTAGCCGCTGTGGCTGTCTGGATGAGGAGGAACAAGCTGAAGATCAATCACGACAAGACAGAGGTCCTCCTGGTCGATCGAAAACCGGATCGGGGTATAGGGTGGCAACCTGTGCTGGACGGGGTTACACTCCCCCTGAAGTCACAGGTCTGCAGTTAGTGAGTCCTCTTGGATTCAACACTTACGCTTGAGGCACAGGCGTCGGCGGTGTCTGGGAGGGCTTTTGCACAATTGAGACTCGTGCTCCAACTGCAACTGTACCTCGTAAAGGCTGATCTGGCCTTGGTCACCTCTAGATTGAACTACTGTAATGTGCTCTATGTGGGGCTGCCCTTGAAAACGGCTCGGAAATTTCAACTAGTCCAACGGGCGGCGGTCAGGATGTTAACTGGTGCTCCTTACAGAGAGGGGTCAACCCTCCTGTTCAAGGAGCTCCACTGGCTGGCGTTCATTTTCCGGTCCCAATTCAAGGTGCAGGTGCTTACCTACAACGCCCTTAATGATTTGGGACCTGCCTACTTGCGTGACCGCATCTCCGTCTATGAACCCGCATGCTCTCTTCGTTCATCTGGAGAGGCCCTGCTCACGATCCCACCTGCGTTGCAAGCGCGGCTGGTGGGGATGAGGGACAGGGCCTTCTCTGTGGTGGCCCCCTGACTCTGGAACTCCCTCCCCAAGAACATCAGACAAGCCCCTACGTTGGCAGTCTTTAGGAAGAGCTTGAAGACCTGGCTATTCCGGTGTGCCTTTCCAGAATAGGAAAATCTTAGCAAGAAAGTCCCAAAAGCACTTTATTAGAAATTAAGATTGTCCGCACATTGCACCTATCCAAAATCCTTATATATCACTCAGCACACTCAGCACTTTTTAATCTGTACCCATTACATTTGCCTGGCCTAGTTTTATTGTATCCCGGTGTGTTGTTTTATTGTTTACGGTTATTACTTTATGTTTTTTTATTTGGTTTGATTTATATGTAATTGTTATATTGCTGTTTTATTGTTGACCTTGGCCTTTGTAAACCGCATCGAGTCCTTCGGGAGATGCTAGCGGGGTACAAATAAAGATAATAATAATAATAATAATAATAATAATAATAATAATAATAATAATAATAATGTGTGTGCCTTCATACAGTCCATTACGAGAAACAGGCACTGGTTCAGAATCAAATCAGCTTCTTAGAACTGAGGTGAAAAGAAGTAATAGAGTTCAGTGTCATCCATGTACAGATGGCACCAAATTCCCAAAGCTCTGGAGATTTCTCCAAGCAGACTTTTGGATATGTTAAATAAGCACTGAGGACAGAACTAATCCCTGGCTAAATAGTAAACAAATTCGCCATTACCACCTTCTGAGATTGCTCTTTCGAGGAGGAGAGAAACCACTGTAAAACAGCACCTCCAAGTCCCATCCCAGCAAGGTGGCTTAGAAGAACATCCAGGTATAAAGCATCCCTCCTCCATAGAAGACATCAGAATATCCTAGTAGACATGGGAGGACCTCTGGTTTAATCACATCTTGAATTAAGTGTTAAGGTAAAATGAAGAAAAAAATGAAGTGTTGTTGTTCATTCGTTCAGTCGTTCAGTCGCTTCCGACTCTTTGTGACCTCATGGACCAGCCCACACCAGAGCTCCCTGTCGGCCGTCACCACCCCCAGCTCCTTCAAGGTCAATCCAGTCACTTCAAGGATCCCATTCATCCATCTTGCCCTTGGTCGGCCCTTCCCTTTTCCTTCCATTTTCCCCAGCATCATTGTCTTCTCTAAGCTTTCCTTTCTGCTCATGATGTGGCCAAAATACTTCATATTGGCCTCTAATATCCTTCCCTCCAATGTGCAGTCAGGCTTTATTTCCTGAAGTATGGACTGGTTGGATCTTCTCGCAGTCCAAGGCACTCTCAGAACTTTCCTCCAACACCACAGTTCAAAAGCATCTATCTTCCTTCGCTCAGCCTTCCCTATGGTCCAGCTCTCACATCCATAGGTTACTATGGGGAATACCATTGCTTTTACTATGCGGATCTTCATTGCCAATGTGATGTCTCTACTCTTTACTATTTTATCGAGATTGGTCATTGCTCTCCTCCCAAGAAGTAAGCGTCTCCTGATTTCCTGGCCACAGTCTGCATCTGCAGTGATCTTTGCACCTAGAAATACAAAGTCTGTCACTGCCTCCGCATTTTCTCCCTCTATTTCCCAGTTGTCAATCATTCTTGTTGCCATAATCTTGGTTTTTTTTATGTTTAGCTGCAACCCAGCTTTTGCGCTTTCTTCTTTCACCTTGATTAGAAGGCTCCTCAGCTCCTCCTCGCTTCTGGCCATCAAAGTGGTGTCATCTACATATCTAAGGTTGTTAATGTTTCTTCCAGCAATTCTCACCCCAGTCTTGGATTTGTCAAGCCCCGCATGTTGCATGATATGTTCTGTATACAAGTTGAATAGATTGGTTTAGCGTATACAACCCTGCCGTACGCCTTTCCCAATCTTGAACCAGTCTGTTGTTCCATGGTCAGTTCTTACTGTTGCTACTTGGTCCTTATGCAGATTCCTCAAAAGAGAGACAAGGTGATTTGGTATGCCTGTACCACCAAGAACTTGCCACACTGTATTATGATCCACACAGTCAAAGGCTTTAGAATAGTCAATAAAACAGAAATAGATGTTTTTCTGAAACTCCCTGCCTTTCTCCATTATCCAGCGGATATTGGCAATTTGAAGGGTTGCTATATTTTAGATCTACCACATGGTGGCAGTGCTTAAAAACCTTCAAAAATCTCTTCGGTCAGCTCTGCTATGAAAAGGCAGAGTTGGGTTGGCTGTATTTTTAGATCTGCAAAGTAGAGAAGTTTGCAAAGGGGCCGCTGGTCATCCCCATCTCTTCAGACCACTCCAGAGCAACGACAACAACAACAACAACAACAACAATAATCTTTATTTATACTGCGCCCCCTCTCCCCAAAGGGACTATTACATTTTCGAACCCAGAGAAGTCAATCATCTGAGATTTTCCACATATGCTTATGTGCATGAGAGATATTTTAAACTTGGTAGCTCTGTGAAATTGACAAGATGTTTTGACTTTTCCAGTTTTATGGAATGATCCAGCTTGCCAGTTGGAAATCAAAACTGATCAGATGTTTATTTGGCTGAAGCTTTCTGGCATCTACAAATAAAGACAGCATATCGATCTTGGGAGATAAATATGGATTCAGGATTTTCTATGCTTTCAAGTAATTTCTGATTTGTGGTGACTCTAAGACTATCCCCAAATCACTTGCTCACATGAAAAATGTCATCGTTCTTCAGACTGTCTCGTTGATTGATTATATAGATGCAAGAAAAGTGAAGTGATGGAAGCCGAAGGAAGAAATTTGACTCATTGGAAATACAGTGCTGGACAAGAGTTTCTAGAGCAAATCAAGTCTGAATTCTCACTAGAGACCATGGTGACCAAACTTGAAGATGTCATCCTTATGACATATTGTGAGACAACATGATTAACTGGAAAAGACAATCATGCTTGTAAAATGAAAAGCAATGGAAAAAGGAAGACTGCAGCACGGGTGGATGTGTGCCTGAGTATTTTGCAGTTGACAGCTGAGGTCTTTCATTCATAGCGTCACCATAAATCAAAATCTGATAGGCAGCAAATAACAGCAACTCTCATTATTATTATCACTATGTAACATACTGCAAGTTGCTTCGGGTGTGAGTGAATCAGCTTTCTACAAACCACTTGAGAAATACTATTTAGCCAGTATTGCACCACCTGATATGTATAGGAAAGTAGCAGCCAGCAATGCAAGGACCAAGGCACTCACATCTCCGGCCCATCCTGGGTTCAGATATCAGCTAGCAAACCAACACCTTAAATCAA